AAGATCTCATAGCAGTTATCCATCCTGACCTGGCATCTCGGCTTCAGTCACTTTTCCACTGCCGTAACCTAGCTTCCCTGTATCTTTTCTATAAATACTTTTACGGTAATTATTCTGACGAACTTTCCTCTACAGTACCTAAACTTTATGAATTTAAGCGCAGTACTAGGTTGGCGGGAAGGTCTCATCATTTTACAGTTGAATGGCTAGATGTAAATGTAAGTTTTATGGTAACTGTTTCTTCCCACACACTTTCTTCCGATTTCAATGCTTCCCAGTCAACTCCGACCTTCAACAATTTAAATGCAATGGCAATCGTTACATTATGTCTTCTTAATTCCATAATCTTTATTGTCTTCTCTCCGTCATAGTATATTTTTCTCATATTCTCTAACAATCAGTAAACCCTTGCGTCTTAGTTACTTTATTGCCTTGTTTGGGGTGAAATGATTAAAGAAAGGACAATCGAATTTTTTTTTTTTAAAATATGAAAAAAAAAACGGCCTGCTAATGAGTAAATAGTAAAATGGATAGTTTTATATATATATATACACATCAAACGGGAATATATTACAAGAGCAGACCTAAGAGATAATCTATCGGATATAAATCTAACCTAACAGATAATCTATCACATATAAATCTAACCTAATGGATAATCTATTGCATATAAATCTAACCTAATAGATAATCTATCACATATAAATCTAACCTAATAGGTAATCTATCAGATATAAATCTAACCTAATAGATAATCTATCGGATATAAATCTAACCTAATAGATAATCTATCGGATATAAATCTAACCAATACTGAAATGGAAGACGTTAGCTTTGGTTTAAAATTCTCTACAAGGATTCATAAAGAAGATATATTTGATACAATAATTGATATTCGAAGACAAAACGATACAGAATTCACCAAAGGCTTTAACTCAAGAAAAAAAGATCATTTTGGAAAATCACACACCATGAAAGGCAACTGAAAAAGAGGACATATATAAGTAACAGAATATACAAATTCTATCTATCTATCTATCTATCTATCTATCTATCTATCTATCTATCTATCTATCTATTCTATTCATATCTATGTATATATATATATATATATATATATATATATATATATATCTTAGTCTCTTCATTTCCCAGTCGCTTCCCATCTATCTATTTATCTATCCCAGTCTATTCATATATATATATATATATATATATATATATATATATATATATATATATATATATCTTAGTCTCTTCATTTGTATCTATCCCAGTCTCTTCCTATCTATCTATCTATCTATCTATCTATCTATCTATCTCTCTGTCTACCTATCAATTTGTTATTATCTATCTATGCATCTCTCTTTCTCTCGCTTTATATATATATATATATATATATATATATATATATATATATATATAATAATAATAATAATCTTATAAATATAAGCAGCTATACCCGTCCGGCAAAACCTTAGGTTTTTTAGCTTGTAAAGGAACAAACCAACACCCAAGGAAAAGAGGGTAAAAAAAAAGAACTAAGAACATGTACTTCCGGCGAAAATAATCGTTTAGAATCTAAGTTCAGAGTCCAAAGAAAAAAAATCACAATAATACCACGTTATCTACTTACATATGGAAAATTAAACATGACTCTAATAAAGACTCCATTTTGAAATGGGAAATATTAAAGAAATGCCATAAATATAAAGCAGGTAATAAAATTTGTCCTCTATGTAGACAGGAAAAGTTAGTCATCGCTTTATTTAAATAAACTAATAATTTGCTAAATTTAAAAATGGAAATCTTAAGTAAGTGTAGACATAGAAAAAGCTGGTTACTACAATAGGTTTAGTTTCTTCTCTTGGTCGTTTTTTTTTTTTTTTTGCGTTTTTGAATAAATAGGTTCACCCCGCCCCTCCCGTTGTTGTGTTGCTGTTTGTTTTGTTTAGTTTTTTTTTTTGTTGTTTTCTTTTTGGTCACATGGTCATGTTTTTGTGTTGTAGGCTATAGATTTTCTCTTCTTATAGCACCTCTTTAGCCAGTCCACCTGAGGTAGGTTTGTCTGGTTCTTTAGATTAACTTATATATATATATATATATATATATATATATATATATATATATATATATATATATATATATATATATATATATATAACGTAAATTTCAGGAATTAGATATTCCAATAAAAAATTTCACTTGAAGATGGAACAGAGCTTGGTACTTTAATTCAATGTAATTCAAATAATTATATTGAAGTTTTCGGCTCTTGTTTTGAAACATGAGAACTCTTATGTAGCGATGGAATATTTTAAATAAATTTTAAATAATATATATATATATATATATATATATATATATATATATATATATATATATATAGGCAACGCTTGAGTCTTCAAATGGAGAACACCTATTAAATAATGAGTCATGCTCGTTTTGTTTTTCGACTGACTCGTTTTCCATTTTCCATACAGGTAGATCAAAACATCATTTATTAATTTTGGAAGCCTTATGCTTAAAATTATTCCAACCTGTACTATGCAAGCAGAAGGAGAATTTTTTAAGATCCTTGGATTTATTCAGAGATATGTGACCTTTATGTTTTCCTTTTTAAGCTCCACTGGATCAAAATTTTTTTTTTCTTTATTTACGTATTTTAATCGTTAATTTATTTGTTTTTTCTTAATTTTACGTATCTCGTAATTTTAAACATGTCCCAGTACTATCTCTTATCAATCCAAATGAGTTAAAAGTTGCCAACGATTGGTCCCTGATGATGCGTTGGCCGAAAGGCAGCCTAGCTCCGGATATTTAAAAAAAAAATGAACATAAAATTATGTTTATTTAAATCAATATATATATGTACAGTGTAACCCGGATATAAGAGAGTTGTCGGGACCGGATAAGAAGACTCTTATATCCGGGTTTCTCTTATATCCGTGTTTGGCCTATTTTATATACATTAACACAGGCTCTAATTTGGGACCAGAGAAAATCTCTCTTATATCCGGGTTTGGTCTATTTTATATACATTATATCCGAAAATCTCTTTATATCCGGGTCTCTTATATCCGGGTTTCACTGTATATGTATAAAGGTACATATTATTCCTCGCCGATTGAACGACACAGAGTTTCATGCATATCGCAATCTTCAGGTATTGAGTATAGACTGGTCGTGACGTAATTTAAATTGTAAGGATTTTTATCTGGTTATCGTAATGTTAGCGCAGATATATATTTTACTGGGGTTACAGTTTGTTTTTTTTTAATTTTAAAAACTATATTTGGCCTTTAAAAGTTGTATATATATGTGTGTAAGGATATTTTTTAGAGTGGTGAACATTAATCTTTTTATTATTAAAGGACGATTACTTGTTCCTTCGTTTTATATATATATATATATATATATATATATATATATATATATATATATATATATATTAATAAAACAGACTACTTTAAGTTTCCATGTAATAAATTATTTCATCACAGCCCTTTTAAAGGGCTCCGGATCATCAGACTTTACTTCCAAAGGTTGAAATGACAATGAAAAGAAATTTACACATTTTTGACGGGCCGTATTAAGCATATGTAAATTAACGAAGTGAGTGGGGAGAGAAGACTACCCATACAGGTTTACCTTGTTATATATATATATATATATATATATATATATATATATATATATATATATATATATATATATAAAATAAACTATCACCGTAATTTACATAAAAATAGCTCATAATTCATATTAAAAATTAATCTGAATCAACGTATTTGAGCAGATGCTTATTTTCACGCCTACATGTAACAATCAATTCATTTCTCTTGTTTAATAAGCTAAGGTTATTTAAGTGTTTTAAGATAACCATTTTTTCTACAATACATAAGTTGCATTTATTTCCTTTCCTGTTAAAATTTAGCTTTAGTTATGATATTTCAGTTAATTGGCGGTGGGATACTATTATTCTATAACTTGAAGAGGGCACTGCTGTTTTTGCATTTTATAATATCTAAGGTCATTTGGTGATGGTAACAACGAAATTTCCAAGGATTTTCAGTGGAAACAAAATCAAATTTATCATCATTACTGGAATGTATGCAGTTTTTTGGTTATGTGTACTAGTGAGCTAGCCTAAATGAGCTGACTCATTTTATAGTTCACCAATAGAAGGGATAACCAATCAGAAAGCTCAAAATATTCAATGCGACGTGTATAAAGGCAGCCATTTTTTCTCCCAAATTGTCTGCACTGCCAACCTGATATTGATGACTTAAAGAATTATTTAACAACCGCTACTTTCTCTGAATCTTCACTGCCGACCTCTGATATTGAACAGATTACGGACTTCACTGGATTCCTTATTCAGAGACTGCGGCAAACATGGTCAACAGCTTGGTCTATCGAAATCTTCAGGCCATGAAGCAGACTGCCGCCGCACGGATTTGAACTCCGTGTCCACTTTTATATTTACATGTACACTATTACTGATATTGAGTAGTTTTGCCCATAAATATAGCATACATTAACACACTATTTTTATGATGTGTGTGTGTGTGTGTGCATGTATGTGTTTGAAGTATTGGTACAAAGACATTTGATCGGTTTCCTAAAAACTGTCAAAATAACATTAGAATTTATTATCACATCCATTCTTGCTGTGAATTTATCAGAAACCCTCATATATATATATATATATTTATTAAAGACATTTTTATGTTTAACGTTCTTTTTTATAGATACAAGTATTTAAGTAAATGCTCTGTTTATAATAAACAGTATTAAATAGCATTTACCGGCCTGAATGTCCGAGAAATTTTCATAGAAAATATTCGTCCTTTGACAGGATTCGAACCTGCATCCTATACGGAACCGTCATTTACGCTGACGTGCCTTAACCGACTCGGCTACAAAGGAGCGTTCGGTAGGCAAGGTCGAACATAAAAATGTCTTTAATAAATAAATTGTCGGACTTTGTCCATTTC